AAAAAAAAAAACTTTCCTCAACTGCCAGTTCCGCTACGAGCACATCAAAATTTAATCGTGAAAGGAACTTAAATGTTGACAAAATGCCAAATATGTGAACGAAAAAAAAACAACTCCATATCATTTACAGCTGAATAATGAGGCTGGTTTTTAAGGATTTGCGAAATACGGCTGTACAGTGGCGTGGGAATGGGATGGGCGGGAACTGACGATGAACCAATCAGAAATCCAAGTTTGTACTGATTTCTCACGCTTCAGCAGTTCACTTGGCTCATTGTACAGTTGTAGAGTCATGATGGTCGAAAGGTTATGCAGGTGTCTGGGCATCATCAAGAACAGGGCAACATTTTTGTTGAAGGTGTTTTTTTTTTTCTGGTATTTCTTTTCATTTCTATTGTTTTTCTCCTACTTTTTTGCACGTTAATTTGGTCGTTGGGCAACAGTGGTCGTCATTTTTTCCCTTAAAATCATTACTAGCTTATTTCACAGGAAGTCACTGCGCTTTTTCTCTGTTCTTTGCGATATATTGTATCAAAAAAAAGTCCCAGTTCCTATTATTGTTCTCATTAGCAGTAGTGGTAGAAGTATTACTCTCATTATTACCGTTTTGCTGTTTAGTTTGAGTTTGGAGTGATATGAAATAAACATGTAAATCATTTAACAAAGAACTTCAACAGTAGTAATTGCCTAGTTGTTTAATTGATTTGTTTTTTTTCAGCAGTTCCCAATGAAAAGGCCATTTTAGATCATTTGGATTCTCACGCTTCAAATTATCAGCAGGCAGTTTTTGTTCACCATTTGAGTATAATAGATTTCTTTCTTTGGATTTCTGATACATTTTCGGCTTATGGGAGCGATTATTTTGAGAACTTCAGGTAGGTGTAGCCGGAAATACGATTAGAAAGGTTTTACCTTACTACTATGAGGCGTACGGAAGAAACTGCCCTAAGAAGATGCTTTCTAAAAAGAAGAAGAATTCTGACTCGGATATGATTTTCAGAGGTTTTCATTGTTTTTACTTTTAGCTTTATAGTTATCTTTGAAGCAAACTGGTGTTCACGTAAATTAACACGTACATTCGGCATTTTGGAACTTGTTCTGTCCAACTCAAGTTCAAATTCTTTTGAGGCTTCATTCTACTCATTTCAGATCTAGAATGCACTGAGGTAAACGTGCATTGCGTGAGCAGTGAGATTCCAAACCGTGGTAGTCTGGGACGATCCCTTTCATGCACCTCTGCAGCCGCATGTAAAACACCAAAGGATGGCGATAAAGTTGCTTCTTCGGAATTGAGACCTCCTGGCTGGTGTGAAGTGCGTATTTTTCCAAGTCGAAGTGTTTCTAATAAATGAAGGTCAAGGATTCAAGAAACTTAATTGTTCATTTGTTTCCCTCTTTTTTTAGCCAACGACTGGAAAAAGAACGATGAGTATAGGCTGCGGCTTCGGCCAGCTGGACAGGTTTGCGTTCGATGATTACAGCGCTCATTTGCATCCTTATGATGTAGAACAAAAGGATAACTGGACGATGTTAGTTATTTTTAGTTCTAAGTTTTTGATGGACGGGTACTAACCAAGAGATAAGTTTGGGTAATTTTAAAAAGCCGCACGTTTTTTTGAGGCAAGGTTTAGGGACTCGACCTGCAATTACTCTTTTTGCGTTGTGTAGTGACGAAAAATTCGCTTTCATAATTTCTTTTGATAGATCTGAACTTAGGAAATGAAGGTTACTGAACTGTAAAAGCGTCTCATTCAGACCTCCCGCACTTATCAAGTCACAACGGCAGGATTCGATGTTTACGGATTTTTATAACTTCAGTTGAATATCTAGTTCTTTTCGCCCTACCAGCACCTGGCCTCCTATTTTGAATGGGCCCAGTCTCAAACGTTGTGAACGAACAATTCGGAAGATATTCGTCTGGTTCTAGTTTTCGAAGATGTATATAAGTGATGTTGCACTAGTGGATCAGACTGGATGGGGATGCTCTAATATTGAAGCGCAGATGTTGTCTTTTGTTGGTTTATTTTCTTTTTGTGAATTACACCTCTTTCCCCCCAATTCATTTTGTAGCTAAGGTTACACTTGTTTTTACAATATGACATCCAGAAAAGTCCTACCAATAAAATTTGAGTACATGTGGATATTTGGTGTTGCTGGAGTTTAATAGATAGTGATTTGGTACTGTTAAATTATAATTGGTGAGAAGTTACATTATTTCACCAGTTCCTTTGCTCTCATTATGTGTTATTAATATGTATGAAGGTCAGTTGCAGTTTATGAAGGTAGCCAGTCGTATGGGAAAGGAAGCCTGCATCTTTAATATAGGTTTTAGGGCGGAGCTACCTTTTTTTTTGAGAGAAAAAGGAACTTTCTTCAAGCGCAGTGTCATGTAGTTACACTTTTATAATGAAGGAGAATATGCATTAAAGTAGCTAAGCGGAGAGGCGTTTTCACGTGAAGGATAATCAGCTTCTTGAGGTCAATTTTACCTGTAGTTCCAAACGCTGTTTAGCAATGCTATTGTGCTAGAAATGCTCTTGCGGCTCCGTCACAATACTGGAGGCAGTGCTCACCTGATAAGGTTTCGTCGGAAAACAGGAAAGAGCTCCATGTCGGTCCTTCTTGATGGAAGAACTTGAGCGCCCTCTTGAACTCATAATTTTGGCCTTAGCGTGT